AATTCTGCCCCACTCCTTAATGTCCCTGAACAGTTAAATTTGTTTTTAAACCACAATGCTTAAAATGCGTTTAAATGAAAATCTTAACCTACATCATGCCGCGCAAAACGATTGATATATTTCTACCGGTTTATCTCTCAACCCATAAGCGAATATATTTGTTCAAACACAAAAAGCAATATACATCCATCAAGTTGTTAACTTGTTAATCAAACTAACCTCAAATCTGTGGGGACGATGACGCTGTGATTTTATCTGCTCCATGTGCCCGGTCCACTTGCTGTTTCACAATTTCCACTCCATCATCGGCTTTAAAATAACCTGAGCTGGGGATTTTACGGACTAACTCATGTTTTCCCCTCTCTCCTCATTTTTTTTAGAATAGCCCCCCTCACTTTCTTTTTAGAATAGTTTAAATTTTTACTTATTGAAGATTGTTCTTTGCATGACCATTTCCAGATTATGCCAGAACTAGGCCTAAGTGAAGAGAGGTGAATGCAGACATTGCAGCATCACCTGATTGATAAATTGTGCAGGGGTCGTTCAAAAGTAAAAATATAGAATAAATGCATTTGAGTTGGTTTATTGTTTACATTTTTTCCCTTATGAATTTGTTTGGTGCAGCATTCTATATGTATATAGGTATGTTTGGGCTGTTATAAATGTTAAAAAAATAATTTATATATTGTAGAGTTGTTTGGGGTGGGGATAAATTAAACGCGATCTGTGATGAGTCACAATCGTGTTGCATCGTGGTCTACGGAGCGGCCTGAAGTGTGCATATGAAGCAGACTCGCTCCCTCGGTCAAAATCGAGGGGTCGAGGGTCTGTCCATATAAACTTCCCTCGTCCACTTCACGAAGTGGAACGCACTTCAAAATGGCAGAGGGGATTCCATCGAGGGGAAGTGCTTAGGGAAGTTGGGAGTGCGTGTCTAAAAGTGGAGTGGACGCAGCCCTGGCCACAACCACATGCCCTTCCCTGCTGAAAATCAGGCTCACATTTGTGATGTCATCATACAAGGACCCAACAACATTATATGCAGTACTCAATCTTGAACAGAAGGGGGCACTTAACTGCAACTTTTTTATAGACTAAACGCAGAATTTTTGTATAGAACAGTATTTGCAGTGTTTTTTTTGGACAAGCCCCTTATAATAAACCCTGACTCGTCATGTGGTTTTCTAATTTTTTCTTCTTCTATTTTTCCACTTGCTTATCATTGTGGTTATCAGTACATTTTAAGATAAAAGTTGATTTTGGTTCAAGTAAATTGGTATAGTAAAGTAAGTTGTATACATAAGTTATAAAATCTACGGGCATCAATATGCCAATACCTTAAACATTGTCACCAATTTTTTTTTTTTTTTTAATAATTCATACATTACGGTTTTGGACTCTTTTAAATTCCAGGATAATTTATATAGGCACATTTCTGCATTTATGGGGATTTATTACATTCCAAAATTTGCAATTTCATATTTAACAGATAGTGGATTTATAATCCACCCAAACCAGCATTCCAGTAATACTCCCAACAATTATTCTAGACATCTGATTCAATGTGACTTTTCAAATGTATCCAATATGCCAAGGACAATACCTGTGCAAACTCCAAGGTTTTTTTTTAGTGTTGATTTAACTGCTCCTAGACAACTCCAGAGCATTCTGTGTTGTGCTTTCTCTTATTTTTTAATGTTGTTAACAAAGCATTTCTACACAACCATAATCAAAAACTGATCTTATCATTGCTTGGTCAACAGAATGTCTATTCACGGAGTCCCCACTCTGTTCCCGCTATGCCCTCCTTGTGTTGATCCTCCTACAATATATATAGGTACAGTTCACTCTACTTGAAAGGTTCGCTCTTTCTGTTGGCCTTTCGTATAACATCAGTTTGCACTTTTGCATATTTTTCTTCTATTGTTGTACATATAGCATATTATTGTACATATAGCACCTTTTTACTTGTTGACATCTTTAATTTCCAATCAATAGACCAATCTTCCACCTTTTAAATAGCTGTCTAAAATATACTGTTTATTGGTTGGTAACGTTAGATGGATAGACAGATATACGTTGTTTAATAGTAAATAATAATAAAGATAAAGTTCCATTTCAGTAGATTGGCTAATTATTACGTTTTTGTTTACTGTTTCTTGCTGAACAAGCACCGTGAGCTCCTGCAAAAATGATTTCGCCATTCTCATATTCCTCCTTCTAGCGTACTCTTCTAGACAATGTGAAACGTTGTATTTCTAGCATTTATCATGTTATCGCCTCCTTATTATAATTGTTTGTAGTATTCCTAATTTCTAATGCGCCTTGGATAAAAGCTTCTGCTAAATGAATAAATGTAGAAAAAAATACTTAAATAAAAAGGCGAATGTTGATTGGTGCAGCCAGCAAACACATAATCACAAACGCAGGGGCGGATTCAATTCGTGACGTCAGACAGACGCCGCGCTCAAGAGTCAAGACTAAAGTGGAAGAAGAGTTCAACACGTGCTCTCTGCTAACATCGTAAACTGCAGAACATACAACTTCATCTCGCTTTAAATTCGCAGCGCATTTAAAATCTTACGATGCCAGCCCAAATCATCTGCGGGAAAACGATCTCAGCGTAAGCTATTTTCTTTAAAAGTTTTTTTTTATTCATGTCACGTTGATAGAGCTTTGGAGCTTTTTTTTATTTACATGTTTCATGTTCTCACGTACTTAAAGTGACAATTAAAGCTACAATATTTTAGAGAGTGCGTGTTTTTTATACCGCCAACATTTGTGATTGTTTTTTGGTCACGTATTGAACTCTGAACTTTGAGACATCCACTGGGGATTTAATTGATCGCATTTATCAATGGTTTTAAAGTTTAAAAGACTATTATGTAAGCGGTGCAGACGCAAAAAAAGTGTACAGGCCTTATACGTTTTTTTTGTTTGAACAGGCTAATACATTCAATGAGACCAAACATCACATGATCTCCAACTGACCCTTATTACATAATGAAAGAATGACACAGTCAGTAAATCAAACATTTAGTTACTTGCAGTGCACTCATTAATACCTTTATACAGTATGTTTCTTATTTATCTTATGGATATTTTTAGTATTTCCCAAACTGAAAAGAAAACCAAGCAAAAATGGCAAATTTGGATATCATTGATTTTAAAGGTGCACTACAGAAGATTTTTTTTTGTTTTGTTAAAATTGAACAAAATCAATTATTGATGAATACAACTAAATAATTCAGAAATGACAGCGCCTATGCCTGCATCTCTGACTAAAAAGGCAATGAAACAGTCTAGAGAGATGGACAGACCATCACAGGGCCAACACACAAAGACAGACACACTGTCTCACTCACATCTATGAGCAGTTTAAGCCTTGTTCAGACTGTATGTCCAAATCTGATTTTTGTGCATTTCCAATCATATTTAGTGAGTGTGAATGGCAAAAAAATCGAATGAAATTACATTTCTGGAAATCTGTTTCAGCCTGACCACTCTGATCGCACTTTCTCATGTCATGTAAAATGTAAACATCTCGGATGTTGTTTGTTGAAAACATGCGGAATGACTTTGCAGGAAAAAGATTGTGTTGTGAAGTGCAAGTCAAGCTGAAAATGACAATATACTACTTGTCTACATAAACCTCTTTGAGTTTTGAAACCGGCATAGATGGCGGCATGGAATAAATCAGTGCATTCCTGCT